GCAGAAAACTGTAAACATGATACAGGAAACATTGAATAACAAAGTGCTGTTTCAATTCCTGCACCACCTGTCCTTCATATTTGGCTACAGCATATTAACTGCCTAATAAACCGTAAATGTATTCTGGTTATTGAAACAATCATTAGCCATGGAGCCATGGCGCAAATAAGCACACCCCTGGATATTTTGCACATTTCTTTCATGATAAAACCACAAACTTTAGGACTTCTAATATATATATTTTATATGACAGACAAGTGTTGCACTTGTATGTATTCAGTTTTTTCGATCAAATGTCAAAATACAAGAAATAAAATCCAAAATCCATTGCAATCACCCTCCTTCAGAACTCATCTCATCGGTAAAAAGACTATCTGGGTGTAATTCAATCTCATTTCATCTGAATTATTTTTGAGACTTATGTAATTCTAACTGAGCTCTAAGGGTATGATCTAAGGATGCCTAGTTTTTGTTTGTTTTTCTTTAATTGCTTTCCATTCCTGTCTTGCATTCTGTTTGTGCCTTCTGGACCAGGTATCTCAACACCAGTTGGACGTATATTGAGAAATAGATTCATCTTTCTGTAAAGGGCCTCCAATTATAGGACAAATGACATTATAAAAACCAAGAAAAAGGATAAATTGTAGACACTTTAAAGCTGCCCTAGGTTACAAAAGTCAGTCATTGAACATCTCACAAAGCATTTATGAATCCATCCAAAACTGGAATGGGTTTGGCACAAGCACACATCTTAAGGAACCTGGCTGTCCTTTTAAAATTACAGTAAGTATGGTGGAGGTGTAGAGATCTATAGTGAGATCTCTGGTTGGGGCATGTGTGCGCTGAACAATTACTAGCTATGGAGTCCTTCAATATTGGCTTTTATAAAGCTATATATATTCCAATCTGCAGTGTGCCACAAGACAAAACTAGCAATCTGAACACCTCATCTGCACAGTAAAACATGGTGGTGGCACAGTCATACTGTGAGAATTCCTCAGCAGAACACTGAAGCTGGTCAGTGTATAAGGATTAAATAAAAACCTCTTCTGTAAGCAATTTCAGCTTAGCCAAAATAAGATGCCCTCCATTCTTCCATTGTCACTGTCAAACCCAGCTACTATTTACATTCTTTGTGTTAGACTGTCTAATAATCTCATAATAATCCCAATGAAATACATAAAAGTTTGTGGTTTTAATGTAACAAAATGTGGAAAAGTTTAAGGGGTATGGTTTATTTTGCATGATACTTTAGATCTACTGATACCCTTTTCATCTACTAAGATTCCTAAACATACATTATTCTCTAAATCATACACCAGCATAGATTAATAAAGCTTGGCACCCTTCTGATTTTAATGCCTCCAGGTTACAGAGGCATGCTCCTACAGTGCATGCTCATGATAACTACAGAAACATTTGTCTTTTGGCAACCAAAACCAATTGAAGCTTTTTCATTCATTATCTGTATTGGCAAAAAAAAAAAAAAGTACAATTGATATATGCATGCCCTAGACTCCTGCTTTAAAAAGAAAACCAAAAGGATCAATTATGGGACTTGATGCTCTAATAACATTTTATTGACGGTTGGTTTCGGTAGGTGGCAGTGAACAGGGAGGTTAATCAGAGATACTACCATCCTTTTCATACACTCTGGATAAGTGACGGATGTACAAACTGACTGTTGATGAAAGAGAACCCTGCAAACTCTGCCTGGTCAATGTTGGCAATAACCAGCTCGTCTGGTGGTGTAAGCTGGGGCTGGGTGCGTGTGAAGAACTTGTCGAAATTCTCAGCCCCTTTGCCGCACTGTAAAAAAACATACAAAACACAAAGAGGATAGAGTTGTTTAGACATCAGGTATATACTGCAATAACAAGAGTAAAAACAGAACAAAATAGAATAAAGGTTAATGTTTGTAAAACACCAAAAAAAGCCATTTTGCTTATGCCATTTCAAATCAGCTACAGTAAGTAAGCGTTGGGCTTAGTTGGAAGGTTGGATTATTTTGGAAAACAGCTGTAAGCAGAATATACACACAAAAGCATGTACAGCAACTGGCAAAGGTATTAATATTCCCAGAACATTTTATTTTTCTGAAAAGCTGCAAATTTATATATAAATATTTAATTTGGATTTCATTGCATAAGCTCACACAAAGCTGAACTTGAGGAGAAATCGTAAGAAAAATTTAGCATGTTTTTTTCTTATGTCATGTAGTTCTTTGTTTGGTTTAAAATAAGAGATCCCTTTAAAATATATCAATGTTTCTAGCTATAATGTGACAAAATCTGCTAAATGGAGTGCTATTGTCATTGGATAGTCATCACCATACCTTTAGACACAGTTTAAGTTCTCAGTGAGCACTTTAATTATCTTAAAAGGATCAAGTTGACTTTTTCCAAGTGTATAATAATCAATGCTCTGTTGTCTATGTCTTGGTTCCTGTTATAGAATATTAACCGTTTTGATAATAGATCCTGTTAATATTAAGGACATTTCTCTGTTTGTTTTTATCTAGCCTTCAAAATAGGATGGATTTGGTTGACATGTTGCTCCTTGTAAGAACAAAGGCTAAGAAAACATTGGGAATGATAAGCATGAAATGAAAAAAATAGATTGAATATTGAATCTGAAACACAATAAACTTTTCATGGAGCTTATTTTTTGGTTTGTTTGTCCTTTTAACTGTTAACTACTATGTAAATGTTTACTTAAAGGAAAGTAGGCTAATAGATTGCCCCTTTCTTGATGAATACCTTTGGAGGGTTTACTGTAAGCTTTTATAAAAAAAAAAATGGGTTAAGTGCTTTAAAACTCTTGACTAAATATTGTTATCAACTAATGTCTAGCAGTATATCAAGGAGCCTCTTTTTCTACAGTATTAATGTTCCAGCCACTCTATTTGGGTCTTATTATCTCTGTTCATTCGGGTGTCTCTGTTAGGGAAGGCGCCAGTACCTCCATATTTATTTCCCCTTCATGTTTGAATAGGATAGTCGAGAAAGAATTCGACAGATGATTTCATAGAGCCAAACAAAGCTGAAGAAAAAACCCCTGAGGGCACAGATGTGTCCAAGAGGATTGTGTTTGCATGCAAGAGCTTTTTGACTGTGATCGTTGCCACCATCAGGTGACATTTGCCCAGAGCCATGTTGTCCTGTCGCAGTGAATAGACAGCCAGGCCAATGGCATGAGACGAAAATCAAATGTGGCTCAACATGCACTCACATTAGTGCATTTGGCCCCTGAATGTCCTCTCCACCCTGCACGGCATACACCTGACGGGTAAGCGCCAGCATCCTTCAACTGCCGGGTCTTTCCGTCCACCTGTCTTCTTTTATCCATCACGAACCAGTCATCACTCAAGTGAGGCAAGACACTTTAAAATTTGACCTCATGCGACAATCTCCAGCCCCAAAATGTCCCTTTCTGTATCCCAAAGCAGTTACTCCTTGTGACATCGGGCCACTACTCCGGGGCAATGCTGCCGCCGCTGTGTACAGAGAGCATATGTGGGATAAAACCTCTGCTGCAGAACTGACAGCAGTGATAGTTGACAAGCACGCCTCATTTAGTTCAATTTCTGTCTTTTGTTTCAAAAATAAGAATACAAGATTACTGCATGTTTTTCTCTTGGTATGGCTTTTTAAATTAAAAATGTCAGGAATAGTGTTGAGTTCGAGGTTTTATGCAGTAGCCCATCGAAACCTTATTTTTATTTTGAAAACATGCAAATTGGAACAGAGGGGTCCACCCCTTTGGAATGTTTTTTTTTTTTGGCTTATTTTATTCATCTGCAATGTCCCATACCCGTCTATGTCTCTGAAAGGGCGGTCGTTAAAGGCTTTCTTTTTATGCATCTTTAGATCTTTTTCTACTTGCTAATGTTAACTATTATTACAGGGAGGGTAGAACAAACAGGAAAGAAAATTGCCTCTGACTGGATACTTCTCAGGAAATCCCACCCCTTGTAACAGTAGTTTTCTTCCTGGTTGTGAATAGTAATGTTACTAAAGCCTCTTCTGGCTTATTGATGATCTATTAAAGAGTTAGAAATTGGTCAAGTCATCATTAATTATCTTGATTATCAGTCATGGAAGACAGACATTTACATTTACAGTCAGTTGGCAGCCACTGTTAGCTATCTTGCCATTCATAGAAATTAACGTAATAAAATTATCCAATCTTAAATTTATACTAATAGCAATGTTGAATTATATAGTAAAATTAACAGTTAAACTTGAAATAATTACAGTTTTTATAAGTGGTAGCTTTCTGATTAAAAGTATGTTGTAGTTTATTTTATTGTCATATGTGATTTACTGTAGTGGGATTTTGAGTATTTAACTGCTGAAAAGGATGGGTGGGGTTAACTTTGGGGGTTGGTGGGGTCATGGAAACTTCTTGAACACAAAAGAGAAAGTTCACCATAAACTTGACCATTAATAAATAGCAAATTACTCCTTTCTGCAGTCATTTAGTAAGGCCTCAGTGGGTGAACTTTGGTTAGTATGCTGATAAAACATCCCCACATACTTTGTGACCTAGTGTCCTGCATCAGTTTTCTGACCTACTTTCTTTAATCTTTAATTCTCCATGCCTTTAGACACATACAGATGCACGCCTCTGCACTTAACTACCATAAAATAACACACATGGCTACTTAGGAAGATAAATAAGTCCTTACTTCCATTAGGCCTGTGTTGAGACACACAAAGAAGCACAATTTATCTCTGTCCTTAACCCTCTTCATCTCTACATGAAGGATGTATTATGCAAAACTCCACAATTTGTTTTCTTGTCAAAGTTAAAAAACAACTGAATGGAAACCAGGGCTGATTAAGGGAAAATCAGTGTTATTTATAATACATGTTGAAAGTGGTTTTATAGAAAAATTATATATATATATATATATATATATATATATATATATATATATATATATATATATATATATATATATATATATGTATAATTTATTTTTTATTTTTTTCATTTATTTATTTATTTTTTCAAATTAAACAGAACATTTGAAAGGGAATATGCAATATGTATTTTCATGCTCTTTTCCATTTTCTTATGTTTCTCTGCTACAGCAACTTAGGACTTATTTATGTTATTTTAAATTGCCATGCCAGTATACAGTATGTCTGACCAAGTCTCCTGTGCCACACACTTTTGCTTCTTGGAAACTGCTTCAAGTCTTTTGTGTAATGACTAAGTCCTCCCATTTATTTGTTGGCCTGGTTTTCATAGACTATGATTCAGCAGCTCTCGATCTGACCTACTTTCTTCTATTCAAACCATAAAAACGATCCAACATTCACCAGTGGGTGTAAAATATGTAGGCATCAAGTGGACTGTTCTCCCAAGAAATTTTAAACACCAACACAGACCACCTTAATGCTGCTGATATTTACTCATGAGATTGTTTCATTACTTATTGCAGGCAGCTGCAAAAATGACGCCTTTGACGTCATAAATATGGATTTATGCTAACTATGCCTTTAAAAGCAGTCATTCTACCACAGTGACTATGTTCTGCGTAATGTCTGAGGTCCTTGTCCACCATATACAAATTGTCTGATTCTCATGGTTAGACACAGACAGCTTTTTTTTATTGCAATTCTACAGCCGTCACAGCAGACTGAAGTGTGATCAAGAGGCAAGAAAAGGAAGAAGACAGAGGAAAGAGGAGGAGGAGCTGGATTAGTAAGGCAAGAATAGATTGCATGAGGAGTGAGAGGGTGATGTGTAATGACAGCCAGTTAATGGTAATGGACTGAGCAATAACATGGAATTTACATGGTGTGGAAAATGAGGCATGATGGCTAATTCAGCAGGTGACCATAATTACTGGTTCAATTCAGCAGATGCTCCTCTCTTTCCATCTCTCCCATCTTCATGGAAAATTTGTCATCGTACACATCCAGAACCAAGCAAGCATGCACTGGGCAGTGAACATGCAGGGTTGGATACTTTCTTGGAACTTCAGTGGAGCCAGTATGGTGCCTTTCTTACACCCTGACCTTTCCACATTACATCACATTACAATCCCAAACCTCATGGTGCTGGTTTTGGATTCTGCTTGATTGCTCAACACAAAGAAGGGCATAATTGTGAATTGGATATACATGTATAACCAATAAAAAGGTTTTCTTTTTTTTTTTTTTAGGAATAAAAATCTAAAAGATATTCTGTGTGGATTTATGATTGACATCTTTTCTTCAGTAGCAACAGAATGAAATTCAGTGTAATGATTGCCTTCAGAAGTCACGGCACACACGTAGTTAGAAAGGAAATCCCCTGTATAAACCATACAGTAGATGTCCAGAAATTAAGCTATGTGTAATAATGTGGAGGGAGTATATATTATTACACTATATTATTTTTTGTAACTTATATTCTACAAATATTGATCTTTAACGTATCAGTGTTTTACCACTGCTTGCCACACTCAGAGATGTATATGCAAAAAAAAAAAGGAACCATGAATTTGTTTCCCTCTGCTGCACAAATATGCACTAATTTATGTTTCTGTACTGTCCATCGTCCATTCTTGTTATGAAGTCATCAATGTGGCAAAGTTAAAATGTGTTTGCATAGTTTTTCATGGTACTGTATAGAGAGTCATTCTGTAGTCCCTATTAACCACTGCTCAACACATTATAGCAAAGCAACAAGCTGGTGCAGAAGCAATAATATCTTCCTTCAGTACTTTTCAAAATCTATAATAACCATCATTTTCTTTAGCTGACTCCCACACACAAACATTTTCCTTATAAATACACACAAAGCACACAGAATACATCAGCTCAGTGGGTAACTACATGGGCGAGGAGGCCATGATTCACCTTATTAGAGGAAGTGGACCCCTTGAGGATTGAAGCAGTGGAGAGCTGGAGTTTAAAAATGAATATATAGGAACACACTCATGTATAGACAGCAATGGATAAAGTACTATTTGGTTTTTCTGTTTTCTCAAAGAAACACAGCTTTTATGAATCCTCTGCAGAGCTTTGAGCTCTGATTTAGATAAACGTTCACTAATAAGCATAATAAAAAATTCAAAGGATAAAATGGATTCAGGAATCATTACCAGCATTGGCATAGTAATATAAAACTAATTATTTTGTTTGATGCTGTATTACTTCAATTCAACTCAGCAATGTTAAATTAATATATTTACAGTAACAGCAAAAAAGCCATGTTTAGCACCAACCATAGATTTAACTGGATATCGGAGTAAATACTTTTTCTTATGCAATATTTGAAAATTGATTATTTAGGTCATGATATTCAGTGGGTTTATTTAATTATTGCAGATCAATATCCTTTGATGAGGCCAGACAGTCTTGATAACTTGGATTCCTTTCATATCATCATAAACAGCAAAGCCTATTTTCCTTGACAACGTTTAAACATCCTTAAACAAAAAAAAAGTCTTCATTAAATTAAAAAAATTAGAGGGAAAAAAGTAACTTAGATCACAGAAAACACAACCGTTTTCCTAATCTAAGCTAAAAGCAATGTTGAAAAATCAAACAGCTCAAAACAGTTCAACTTTTAAAGCAATCTTTAAAATAAAACACTCTTCTAACTGACTTTAAATGTCTCAAAATATTCTTCAAAACAGTCTGCCTAACTTCCTTTAAAATGGTTCTCACTTCTTTATTTTATTGCTCGAACTTAAGGCATTTGAATACGTTTGATTTCAAAATAAGACATATATTATTAGTGATAATATATATATTATACTGCCCTTTTTTTCAGAAGAGCTAATATGTCAAATGTAATATGAATATTGTAACTGGGGGTAAGTTTGTAAAAGTTTTCAAACTTTTAGCTGCTCTTTTAACAAGACAAATTCAAATTTCTTTCTTTCTTGGGACTTTTTTTGGAGACTTATTGACTGCTTAGGTCTAGAAAACTTCACACCCTTATTGTTTGCAACAGTTGGTTAGTTTTGCTGATGATTACTTAATCAGACACAATAGATAAAGCTATGGGCCTGTTCTATATAAATAATCATAAAAGCAGCATGTTTGGAAAATGTTCTTTTTCACTGTATTTTTATTTTAGTGTAGTTTTTTTAAGCATGCCTTCTGGCTCAGTGGAATATGTCAATCTTTGTGGGTTACAAAAGACCTTTGAACCTCATTTGTGGACCTTCTAAGAACTAGATAATTCATTGTAATCCTGAAACGATTTCAAAAACTATAACATTGTCAAAGAATTGCTTGATTTTGCTTTATTATGGTACGATTGTATGTAGTTCTAAGAATTAATTTGAACACTCAGTTCATTTCCTTCTTTTCATTCCTAGAACTGTGATTGTATTCAACAAGGACTGAATACACACAATTACTAAAAGCAAATTAAACTTCATATTAAATGATTTACTCCATTTTTATGCAAGTCATTTTGAATGTTTTTCGAAATATTATGCTCCTTTAAAAAGCTTCTTAGCATGTGCAAAATGTAGTAATGAGGTTGCTGTGAAAGTTTTTCTTTCTATGTATACAGAAGGTGTCAAAGAGTGAAAAGCTAAATTTGTTTTAAAAGGTTGATGGGATCCTTGAAGTTTGTTCTGTTTAGTCGAAACCAAAAGTTTCAAACAAATAGTAATTTTTAGGATTAGCTTATCATCACATACAATATTGCCATGAGAGAATTCACAGATTAATGTAAGGTTCAAAGATGGCAAAAATACAAAAATGTTAGACCTCCTTTAATTAACCTTTTTACTCAGTAAGAATTTAAAATCATTAAGGTGATTATTTTAGAGCCCTTTTTACTTTTTCATGTACAACTATATATATAAAAAAAAAAAAGTTAGAACTGTAAATTTACAGTAATTTTTACCATTTTTTCAAGGCTGCACTTTTAAAAATATGAAACTGTCCAGTGAGCTGTTTCCAAATGAAATTTCTTTTTGCTTTACACCTTTGTGTAAACAAAATGACAAATAAAATCTGTCTAAAGTCTAAAATGATCAAAACGATCAGTGATGATGTCTGTCTGTGGGGAGTTTGTATACAGAAATATGTTTACCGTTTCCTTGCTTTAAGATAACATTCATTTATATCAGTATTTTAGCTGCAGTCATATGTTGTTTCTATAGAGTCCATAAATATAAAACCCCAACTGTTTATTTCACTGATCTGTCAGTGAAAAAAGCTAATTCTTGTTCCACACATGGATACAGAAACAGATTTTCTCCACTGAACAAAAGGTATAATAAATTAATATATTTATATTTCATTGCAGCAGAATTGCCTCTTTAAAAGGTCCCCTATTATTTACATTATCACCACTTCCTTTAAGACAACTCCTGCAAAGCCCACTGCTAGGGGTATGGGAGCAATATTGTATCAAAATTATTTGCATATGTGTGTGGAGAGTTGTGTCTGTATCTCGATTTGTGTGCATGCAGCGAGATTTGAAAATGTTTTCATAAATCTGGAAATGTGTGAGGAGATTTGGGTGTCTACAACAATCTGCAAATGTGTAAAACTACTTGTGTGTGTGTAATCCAGTTTTTACATTTGCAAATGTTACATTAGTTGCAAATGTTAAAAATGTTACATTTGCAGATCTTAGTATCCATTTGTAAATCTAAATACAGATTTGTGGATTTTTTTTTTTACACCTTTTGCAAAAATAACAGAATTTGCAAATAACTTTCCATTTTGGATTGTCTTTATGAGATAATTTTAAATAAAAAATGTTATGATCAGTTATCCAGTACTTAAGTACCCTTTTCACCTATTAACTTTTATTTACTCTTGCTGGAGTCATTTCTTGCCATGTTTTTTTGAGTGAAAAGATGAAGATGAAGTACTCTAATTTTATATTGAAATGCAAAGTTTTAAGGTTGTACAGATTTACAATAAACCATAATTTATTAATAGTCCAATTGTAGTCATATAAATGGGATGGATGAGCGGTGACACCTTTAGCTGAAGAAGAGGAAACAAACACCTCCTTCTGCACTGAATCATGCTTAAACATAAACCAAAAACAATATCCTCATAAGATGTGTTAGGTCTAGTGATGGAAAGCACTGAAAAACATTACCAGTGGACTTTTGTATACTGAATGTGTGTACTGACCGTTTTAGGCTTGAAGGGTGGCTGTATCTCTCTGTTCTCAAGACGATCCCAGTCGATCCGTCTGAAGAAGGCGTGTTCTCTGATGTCCCTCTCTCCTTCAGGGCCGCAGCCCAAGCGCTTAGATGGGTGTTTGGTCATCAGCTGTTAATACCAAAACAATAAACCAAGAACATATTAAATGGATTGGGTCAAAACAATTAAAGCAACAGTGTGTAACCTTCAGCCACTAGGGGCGCTAAACCTGTAATGTCCATGTGTAGCATCGCTTAAAGCAACTAGAGACACTGAAGTGCAACAAAACGAAACAGCCTCTCTCATTGTTTTTGTTTTTCGCAATCTGACCAACAGTCACACCTCTAGAAAAACAACTTTTAGCTTACTTAGCTCTGGTGTTTAAAAGCGGCACTCTGGACAACATCAGTCATTCATTGACGACCCTATTAAGTTACAGTTTAGTTTAAAGTTGCCAGTTTTTGAGAAGGACAGCAAGTTCTGTATATTGACCTGAAAAATCATTGAATATATCTCAAATTAAGCCGATTCTTAGGTTGACAATTATGTATTGTTGGTTTAAACAAAACATCAGCTCAGTGCCGATGCCAACAGTATACAATTGCATCGATCCAAAACAATGGTTAAAAACTATATGTTGTGTACAGATTTTATTTCTTATAAAATGTTATTGATTAAGGTCCGGCATACACTGCATGATACTTTCAGTCATTGTACTCAGCTACAGGTCAAATTGTACGACAAAACCACAGGGTTAATAAGTTCACAGCTCACAACATCTGTTCTTATACTGTATGACCCTCTGATGCAATCTGACGGCTCACACTGTACGACCAAAAACTACAAGTCGGACTCAGCCTAGCAGACAAAAGGCCCTGGTTGCGAATTCTTTCTAAATCAGAGAAGAAGAAGAATTTGTTCTTTTCACATGTGCAATGAGCAAAGTTGAGGTAAATTTGCTCGTAGCTCTGCTTCAATAGGAAGATACACTCAAGATGACAATCACCTTAAGATGGCCGACTGAATTTCAAACATGTTTGATTTCATCCTACCATACCATCGAAGGTGATCGTGAGAGGCTAATTACTCCTTGTTGCCCTCTGTATACTATGTAACGCAGGACGGATGATGAGGCTGAAAGCTCGTCCTCATCTCCGTCCGTCATCTCAAAAAACATGTATACCCACCTTAAGAAAATTACCCTAAATTCCTAGTTCAGGGAACTTGGGATGCAAACAGATTACATTATGTTAACTATAATACTTTTCTATATAATGAAGCCGCAACATATGATAGAAAGCTCAATTAAAACCCCCTAGATAGGGTTAAAGATGTGATTTTATGCTTGAAAAATAAATTCAAAACCAACTTTGTCTGAAGCCTAAATGACAGCTTAAAGGTGTTACTATCCAAAATGAGAACTATTAGCTCTGGATCTTTTAAATATATCTAAATGAAAAGCGGTCATCCCTCTGTTCGTCTGGGTATCCTTTAAAATTAGATGCCACTGCTTTTCTAGGTCAGCAAATGACAGCTAAACAGATGGACCAAAATCTGTGACATAATGTTGTTTCCCTCTGCCTGTTATGCCTTTAGAGGACTGCTGTCTCTTCAGTTCACCATGACAATAACATGACAAGACAATTTGCACCTAGTTAGAAAACCAAAACAAGCTCTGTATTCCAACACTGAAAATAGACACAAAAGTGTTATTGGTTTAGATTTACTAAAACAGATTCTAAATAATGTCCTAAAATTATAACTAGCTTTGAATTTTTTAAAGACTGAGTTTTGAAGAGTTTAAAAGAAAATAGGTTTATGATAGGACATATTTTAAACATCTTGAGTATGCATTATTTTTTGCACTGCAGGATATTGTTCTGACTAAAAGACAAAATGATGAGAAAGCACGAATAATGATGCAAAGCCAGTTGGTTTTAGGATTAATAAAAGTAAGCTGCCTTTGAACAATTGGCCCCTGAGTTGGGCTTACTACTGCATGTGCAAAGTTATTTTTTTAAGGTATATGTAAAAACACTGACAGGTAGGACTTTGCATTTTTTGCACAAAAAAAATGTTTTTTTTTTACATTACTCTGCAAATGTTATTGAATCAAAATGTTTTCAGTTACAATAACTTAACTTGAAATAGACAGAAAGCATGTTATTTAGTGAAGAAATTTATAGTAGAAATGTCTATTGTTTTTTTGCTTTATAGAATTAGAAAGAGTAAGCCAGAACTGAAAACAATCATTAGCTCAAAAGACTGCAGCATATACATCTTCTGATGAAATTAGTATTTTATTATTTTTATTTAGGGGCCCTGACTCTTCAAGTGCCCCGAATGGAACCCATGCAAAAATACTAGATCATTTTTAGTAGTGTTTATTAAAAGTTATGCTACAACAACAGGACTTTTGCTAAAACACTTAAATGAAACAAAGACTATAAGGTTATCTCATGCATCAGTTTCAGCTAATAAAAATATACAGTATTTAGCCCAGAACATCTGGGGGAGATCTTCTTAGTAAAGTTTAAAATATACTGAGTAAACAGCTCATCGTTTTAACACACATAAAACACCAACAATTAAAAGCTAAAACATTAAAACACAATCTTAACCAATAGGTCAAAAAAGTCATTTAAAGTCTTTATCAAACATTGATGTCTTTATGTTACTGCACAAAGTATTGGTTGGGAAGTATTGGAACAGGTACTTGCTTTCAGGGAAATGTGCTTTTAAAAAGAGTCAATAATATTTCTCCTCTACCTGCATTGCTTAGAGCATTAAGGAAACAAGCAGTCGAAGGGAAAGAGCCCAGTAAAAACGCCAGCAGGGTTGCTATGGATACCTAAGCCACAGGAATCAGGTAATGTTGAAAGGATCCAGGAGATGGCTGTGAGATGCGATGGAAAGGTCTATAACCAGCTGGGGCAGTGGCCAGCAGACCAGCCCATTTAATGCACTGTCTGTGAAGCTGCGTTCAGGAATGATGAGGCCTTCACATACAGTAGGTGAGCCACGTTAACCAGGGGCAGAGCGTACTCTCTTCTTTCCTCCTTATGATTAGCACTTATAAAAACTGATCGCAGAAGATTTGAAATCTAAACGCTTCTGATGTTGAGACACCAGCAGTGAGAGGACTCCACTGACAGGGATTGTAAGAAAGCTTTCCATTGTGACAAAAATAGTTTCTGTGCTTCTTGCTGAGGATATATATGACCAAAACACCACCATTTAAAATAATTCTGCTTCTTGAAGGATTATTCAAACAATCAATAAATTCAAACCTGTGAACAAAATAGTTGTTTTTCTAGTATTTCTACTACTTATTTGGCAAAATTTACATCCTGTTTTATATTATTCTGTTCTGCATTATAGCATCATATAATATATATTTTTGTTATGCAAATATTTTAGGTGATCAACTTCTGATAAAAAAGTATGAACTTGATTAGGAACATTTCCGTATGAGTTTTTTCTTACTTTTGTCAGTTATGAGTATCACGGTGCCCTGAATTCTACTTTATCTGATCTTTAGGAATAAGTTTGGCTCACAGACTATTTTGGAAAGCTGTAGACAGGGGCAAAAAATAAAAAGGCTGTAGATTTAGTTCTGCTCACAGCCTGTCATTTGGTGCAAAAAATCATCCTACTGTCAAACACATCATTAGGATGAAACACCTCAGACTGAAAAATCCTTTAAGCTTGTAAGCCTCACATCAAAGTGTGACGTACAGTCATCTCCACAAAACAGAAACATCTAGTGTGGACGTTCTGATGAGATTTCTTTTTTCTGGTGATAACCTAATTTTAACACCTCTACTACATCATGGCCAATCACCTTTATTCACACTCGCTCTAAGGTACAAAAAAAAGCCATCCTGCTGTTCCTGTTTAGAGCTTAAATCACTAGATCAGATGGACAAGAACGATGAGTAAAATAAAGACGATGTATAATAATAATAATAATAATAATAATAATAATAATAAATGCATGAATTGGAATGATTAAAAACCCAACTAAGCTTTAAAAATTAGGTCTCATAGCAGTGAATAAACAACTGTTTTCTCTGAGTTGAGACACTGAGGGCGTGTCTGCTAGGGCAGCTCAAACCACGTTCACATCTAATTCACTGCAACAGTTTAAAAATAAGCAAAATATTATGTTTACATCCTGATTTTTGATTCACAGAGATCACAAGCTTCGCCTGCGTGTGACTTGTTCAATGAGGACAAAGGCTGCGGCTGCTGCGTCTGAGTCCCTGTATTTTAGAGGAGGGAGGGTCTTGCTCATTATTAGCTAGAGACGGTAAACTAAGAGCATTCAGTGCAAATTGCCACCAAAATCTCCAACATGACATTGGTAGGTTTTTCGTTGGTCTCTAGTTTTTTAAAGCAGATGCTGAAGTTGGCAAAAATAAAGGACAGGGTGTTCATTTTTATACTGCTAGATAAGATTTTGTTACAACAAGAATAAGCAGAGTGAATTCCTGCTAAAATAAAAATATGTGGATATGGGGAAATTAGGGTATTTTGTGGAAAATCAAGTCTTATCACATCTTTGAAGACCAAGTATACATTGTTATGCTCTTCCTGTTCTGAATAGTGCGCGTATATTGGGATCAAGGGGGGAAAAAATACATTGTTCAGCTACATTAAGCTTTCATAATTACAGCTTCAATAAATGGTCTATACAGCATGGAGAGCTACCAAAGGATGATATTCGGTTAGTGGAGCTATGTTTGAGTCACAGCTGTATTAATGCTGCATAATACTTTAACATAACACTTTATCTCATGTGTCCAAAGTCATTGGTTGGAGGCTTCTTTTGCTTAGGATCAAAGTATGTATGCTGCAGTGTGTTTTAAGACATTAAGGGAAAATTATTTATACTTTGAGTCTTTTCACTGAAAAATAAAGAAAAGCAGAAATGAAATAGTGTGAATAGAAACACAAAAAAAAAAATTAAAAACATGGAAACATTGTGGAAAGCAAAGCAAAAAAACAACAAAACAACATAATTGAATTCCCCCCAAAAACAAAAAAAATTAAATGTGGCAAACTTGCCTGGTTTTACCTTAAAATTCATTGACCTTACTTTATATTTGTAGATCATGTGCCTATTTGTATCACCTAAAAGCTGTATCAACATAGGGGACTTTGACAGTCTTACATTGAGTCCCAGAGATTATGAGAATAAGAGGAAGGTTAAGTTAATTAACTGTCTTATGTGTTCACATTCACAGGGATTAAAGCAAAAAAAAAGTCCTGAGCCTGAACTTTTTCGACACAGGTAAGAAACTAATTGTGTGTGTGTGTATTTTCAAGCCATGCCAGGAGGGTGTGGGGACATGGGATCAGAGATTGCATGAATGATTAAAGACTAAATTTGACTTTTGAAAATCCAAAACCAAAAACGGCCAGAAGATGCCAAAAGTGCATCTATAGCTAGTGTGAATGAAGGCTGATTTACTTCAAAACAAGGTCGTCTGCGTAGGTGTCACAGTGAACGCAGAGACATCCACGCAGACAGGAGGACTCTGATTGGTATAATCTACATCCACGGATATTGACACTGATTGTTTTTTTAACAAGTTCAGGCTTGTTTTGGTATCAAATAAATACAATGAAATTGTGGGTTGGGTAGGACCGTTATGCAACTTAAATAATAGAAAAATATTATTTTCAGACATTAACTCATCAGGGTATTACATGTTTCCAAGATTCCAGCTAGATACCCAGCATCACCTCTCGTTCCTCAAGTCAATTCTCCCACAGTCTCTTTCTTTTTTGCTCTAATCTTTCTTTTTTATAAAGTGTTCTAACATCATGTAAATATAATTTCTTTAGTGAGTGGGGATTCTGGTGATAACTGAGTTCTAATTAGGAAAAGTGTAGCAGCCTATCACAGATTAAAACTAGGAACTAAACACATGCAGTCAGGTTTCTGTCAATGCAGAGTATTTTTAGATTTCACAGAAGCACGAGGCCTGCACCAAAAATGATGTGCTAAATGTTAATTATGACTGACACTAAACCTACTTTTTTTCTTAATAGCCTAGACAAATAATTTGTACTATTTGATGCTACACATAAAGCAGTATGAGCTCATAAACGGAGTCCTGGAAGTTAAGGACTAAGGCGCACTTCTTGGCATAATACAAAACTAAAGTGGAAAAAGAGGGCAAAATGATTCAGTAAAGAGGAAGGGACAGTAAGACAGAGCACATTATGGTGCAGTTCACCAGCTCTGTACAGCCTAAGGATAGAACAAAACTGCAGCCTTTATATCAAATCCTTCTTATATTAAGTTTTTGTATGTTTTTTGTGCCATTTGAAAATAGTTTGGACTTTGCTGAGTCCATTAAGAATCCTGTTTGCAGGAGAAAGTAAAAAGCAGGGCAGTCAAAACCTGATCCTAGGCTTCTGCTGAAATCAATGTCAACCCATGAGAAACCTGTTGAAAATACTTCCCATCTTTCTCAAACCACTATATCAATTTTTTGTCTAAATTTATATCCAGTTATCCTGAGGATCAACATGCAATAAAATTACCTCCATCTAATCTAAACTCAAGATAAAAACACTAAATCAATAAATAAACTGTCCAATATTTTAACCTTTGTAAATCTAAACTGTTAGTTTTATGCTATTTGATAAAGATATAGATTTTATATTTTTAAACTTATCATAGAGTAGGATTACTTAAAGAAAATCAAGTCAATAATAATAAAAACCCAACATTAAACTACTCTTCAGAAATATCAATTCACTTCAGTGTCAAAAGTCAAAATATAAAAACATACGCACTTTTAGTAGTTCTGTGGATAAAATGAAATGTTTAACTGTACATGCATTAAAAACCAAATTTCAGCTAAGATAGGGATTCAATCAACAGTTTTGTTTTGGCCTTGTTCCTAATCTTCTGGTTTTATAGCAGCAGGCAGTTAGAAGTCATTAGGTGTTGTAGATTAATACCTGTACGTTTTAGATCTGTACTCGTTTTATGTTGTTGCAAAGCTCTAACTTTTTAACTTTTATTCATAACTGTTAAACTTGTATTCTCACAGATGAAACATCTGATATTACATGTATGAATAAATTGACAAGGAGCATAGATAAATCTTAAACTTTTCAGCATTTATTAATTTACATTTACAGATTAAGACATAAATTGTCAGTTAACCCACCCCATATCTGTGCTTTAATAATCAATGTGCTTAAATAGCAACTAAACCCCTAATCTATACTTATTTTTTACAGATAAACTGCATAAAAATGGGTGCCAAGTTTGACATTTTCCTGTTAACTTGTTTAATTCAGCAACATCTGGCCTTAATGCACTAAGAGGATCCCTTTACGCCTCTGGAATTTTTATCCCAAGAGACAATCACAAGAAACTTCATGACAATCCACAACTTAAATTCTCAAAACATGTATGGAGAGAATTGCATAAATGGTGTGGAACGTCACATTTGAGACAGTTATATGCACCTTTATGGCATAACTCGGTGGCACCGAATGGAAAAGAGCACTTTATTATAAGGAGTAGATTGAGAAAGGAATACACATAATTGGTGACCTCCATAAAGATGAGGTGCTTATTTCTTTTGAGGACAGGATACTAAAACATAGATTTGAAAAAATGGGTAACTTTTGGAGGCACTTGCAATTGAGGAACTGCATTACCAAAAGCAATTTAAGTGATTTTTTTAAAGCACAAAAACTTTTCCTATTACTGTTTTAATATTTACATGAGAAATAGGAAATAAACAATCTTTAATTTTTAAGAAAACAGTTTGTTATCTGCTCACCCCTTTGCAGATGGACACAGCTTCTTTTGACATGGACTTTGGGTAAGAAACATTGTGCTCCATAATGGACTGGAACAACTCATCTTCATCCTCACCATCAAACGGAGGCTGTGGGTGGAAAGACACGATGTTCAGGATGCTAAAGTTACACAATGAATAAATACTGATTTTTTGCTTCAAGGTCCTATAACACAATGGCTCACACAATACCATTGCACATCAGCAAGGTTTAATCATTTTCATACAGGTGAAGAGACAATCAAAAATATAAAATTTTTTCACTGGACGGAATAAAAACAAGCCAGAAACATTGTTAAATTGACACAGGAGATCATGTTTCAGAGGAAGACCTTCTAAGGTCAGTGGAGTGGATGACCCAGCTTTTCCTTTCCCTGCTTCGTCGTTATCATCAGTTACCATAATATGGGTGTTTTGACAGTCCATAAAATGAATTATTCGTCATTTCCACACCAGTGGACTCTTATCGACCAGAGGTAGCCTGTCTGCATGAAAATATATATCTTCCTAGTTTTTCTTTCATAAAATCAGTCAATCAAACATTTCTTCAGCGATACTGAAACTAAATTATGATTTTCTCTTTTAAATGGTGACTGTTGGTTTTAGAGCAGCCTTTACTGTCACCTGGATTTAAAATTGATGATATGTGGAAATTTGCATCTTGTGCAGAGTGAGTATAAATAGGTCACAACATTTATTATGCTTGTTCTGATTTAGGTCAGCGCTGTGTATGATTTATAACAACAGGCTAAAGACACAGTGACAAATTCATGTGTAAACATTGAACACCAAACAAATCAGTTTTTTTCAGTTCAAATCTAATCTAATATATACTGTAAAGAGAGAAATTTGAACATTAAAGCAATTGAAATCCAGATATGCTCTTTGTGATGTTGTGGGTTATTGCTACAAGGATTTGCAGAAGTATCCACATGGGGATGGTGGGATAGGGGAAAGATTATTGCTTTGACTTGTTGCAAGTCTCTGAACACAGAGAAAAAGTTGCTAGAAAGGTTAAAAAAGTTAAAATTAGCAAAAAAATAGCTAAAAAAAGAAAAAAGCAACAAAGTTACTAAGTTAGCTGCAGTGATTCCAGAACTTTAAACATTATACTTGCATATAAAAATCATTATATATTTCCTTATACTCTGCAGTTATTTGATACTCTGCATTGGTAAACAAATACAATTTTGAAAAAAAAAAATTAATTAAAAGTTTGTGGAAATATAAAAATGGAAAAACATATTTAAAACAGTTTAGAAGTGTTTTTACTGCAAAAAGATAAGGATGGCAGCTGTTCAATGCAGTACCAAATAATTCAGCATTACTCAAATGCATCAGAAGCGATTAACTCTTGGAGGCACTTCTACTAGAAATGCTTAGCGTGGGTCTATCTGAATAAGGCTGTACAACCTGTAGCATAAACAGTTTTAACAGAAGGGAACATGTTTGTTTATCAGTCTGAAGCACTCACCTGTCCTGCCAGCATTTCATAAAGTAGAACTCCATACGCCCACCAGTCCACAGACCGTCCATATGGCTGATAAGCAATGATCTGAGGAGGAGGGAAGAAAAATATACAAATATTAGCTTAGAATAACATAAAGCAACACATTCTTTTTCTTCGTGATGGAGAATGTGAATGTGGGAAAAGGTTTCTATAAGGGGGACAATATCCGAAAAGAAAAAAAATTGACAAAACATTTTTTGGATGCAGGAATTAAAGCAAATATACCATTTAAAACTTTGATAAAAGAAAATTTAACAGTGTTCTGATTCAGAAGGAAAGACACTCCTGACACTTTAGATCTGCAACTATTACAAAATTTGCATTAATTTATTATTTAGATGAAACATTATTTAAACCAGCCACTCCATATCTGTTAGCTCTACCTGGAGGAACAATGCAGGACCAAAAAGAGCCTTATATAAAAGAGCAGGAAAAGTATCTTCTCTTCTGAACAAAAGCTTTTGCCTTTCTAAGCAGTAGACGCAGTAGCACATTTCTAATGAACATTTGCAATGAAACTAATACTAATGCTTTCAGCCAATTAACATATTTTTGCACGCACATGTCACTTCAGTAAGGTAGTATTGAAGTGATAAAGTAAAAAAAAAAAAAAAATTGCAATAGAGACCAAATGCTAAATGCTATAAAACCATGTAAACGTTATAACACAATTTTAGAAGATGTAAAATAAAAAAACAAAAACATCTTCTTTACAGTATTTCCCTAGTGTTAGGGTGAAATGCCTTTCCAACTGTATTGCAGCTTACAGTATGGAATTTTATTCCATAAGATGCCAGCGATATCCAGCAGGAATTGGGTCCATTCATTCTGAAACAACTAATGTTGTTGAATCAAGGTAAAAAGGTGACCTCACACACATCTCCCATGTTTCTATGGGATTTAATTTGGGCTTATGGACTTTGTTGTGCTTAAGCTTCTTAAAAGTTGACATGTGTGCTCAGTCATTGTCCATTTAAAAGAGCCATTTTTTCCTTAAAATTAAGCTCTTTGTAAAATTCTTTAGATGCAGCTTCAGTGTATTTCTCCATTCCCTTCTTTCTTCCTGATGCCAATTATTTTGTGAAGCATACTATTCCTTCTTGTAGCAAAAACATTAAAATACAGCAAAAAATGTCAATTCTTTTGTGATCAGACCATAAGACACATCATCAGGAATCAGGTCCATATGTCCCTAAGTGGGATTTGTCTTTAATTCCTGCTTTAAGATTTTTTTGGAGAGCCTTCTTCATTTCTTTCTACGAAACGTGCTAAACTGTGGAAAATTAGACCAGCCTGGAGATCTATGGAGATCCACAATTTGTCTAGACATTAAAGATGAATAATCCCTCAATACCCTACTCTTACATGACAATTACAGCATTTATCTATATTTGTAATACAATTTACAACTCCAATCCTAACTAGTTGTGACCCCATTTATCAGAAATGACTAAACAAAACTGCAGCCAAGAGACTCATGTACTGTAACTTTAGCAGAGTTATAGAGATCCACAACTCAGATGAGTGAGTTGGTGACACAGCAAATATTGGTCATTGATTTTAGAAATCTAGCCCCCATTTGTTTCAGGAATATACCTCTGCAAATTCTCAGTCATATGAGTCATGGCAACTATAAACTATCAATCTGTATTTGGAGGGTGGATGTTTTTAAGCAGGCCCATCATGCAGTCCGGTTATCTTTATTTTAAGCTAATTTCAGGAATAAACATTTTACTGTAATAAAACCAAAAAAAGGTCTGATCTTCAGTATATCGAATGTCAATGTAGAAGAGATAGTCAAAATGCAGAGCAGATAACACTAAAAAGCTTTTCTCATCAAAATTCAAAAAGCTCTCTGCCTAGAGAACCAGTACAGACAGGGAAATGCAAAAAAAGAAAAAACTGCTAAACATTAGAAAAGTATTGAGCCTTGGCCATCGTTTAGGACAAAACCATCATATGCATGTTAAAAGAGGCCCAGTCAAAGACCAAACCTAAGTCCAATTATCTGTGAAAAGACTCTACTTACATCCTACATTTAATCTGACATAGCTTCAGGCAAAGAAGAACTGGTCAAAGTTGTAGAACTGTATGAAGATAAACATAGCTGGTATGCAAAAATCATAAATGACTTCTTGTTGTAACCCCGACAAAATGTAATTCTTTAAACTATTAGCTTGGCCAGATAAATACATATGTTATGCTAAAAAAATTAAATTCTTAAAAGCAAAGCATGTTAAAACTATGTTTAAGCCTTTCTCCATATTATAATTATGCACTGCTTTGTGTAGGCCTAATGCATAAATGGCCCACAAAATAGTGTAAAGTCAACAGGTAATAGTACCCTTGCAAGGCACAATAAAAATATAGGATGTCGCGTCAGAAACACACAAAAGCTCATTGCATTGTTCTGACCCAGAAAGAAAACATCCCCAGGTGTGTTATATCAGAAGTGCCATACATCTCTTTAGGCCCTCCTCTGAATTAGGACTGATGACCCCTGCTACACACAAATTACTCATGAGTAACTCCCATAGCTATTAAAACACAAAACCATTTATCCACATTGGGCTGCAGAGAAAAAGAAAAAAAACACACACAATGTATACATGTGTAATAAAACACATGGATAGAAAGCACTCTGTACAGAGCAATTCATGAGCTGTGGGGAAGCAGGTCTACTCTGTGTAACAACCTTCACTGAGTCCCACCTGACTGCTGCCTTTACCACAGGGAAAAAACAATATGTACACAAACACATGTGGACCCACATTATGGTCCTAATTCTCTCTTGAGGGCTGATGAGAGACAGATAAGCATGCAGTATATCCACCTGCTCAGGGAGGGCATATTTACATAACTCTGCATCTGCATGTAATAATATACATGTTAGAAGGGATTTATTTGTTTTTTCTACTGCAAGTCAAGCATTGGGCACATCGAAGCGTGGTCAAATACATCCAAAGCAGCAGATGTTGAGCTTGAAAAATCTATCAGTCAGAGAAGCTGATCCAGAAGCTGACTGGTAAACAATCACTGCATCTTTCCTCCTTGCAGATTTATTCTGTTACAAACTGTTTAACTTCTTTTTAAAATGTTTTCTTCTAAAGGACTTTTATTGTACTTATTTTCCCATGTTATTTAAGTATATGTAAACATAATCTTCCAAAGCCTTCATCATTAACACCAGTGAGTATATTTCCTGGTATTAGTAGAACTTAGTAAAAAAACAATTATATTTGATTATTTTCTTTACAGTTACAACAAACCTTTATCCTATTGATTTTTTTTTTTAAGCAACACAAAGTATTTCGCAATTTCAAAGGGGGAAATTTAGGATTAGGGTTAGCTTGGCTTCCAAAAATAAAAATACTAGGAGTACTAGTTTAATCCCCCTTGGAAAAAAAGCTGAGTTGTGAACAAATTGGAGAAGGTTTGTGAATATAATTTCCTACTGCCAGAGTATTTCAGGATGTACAGAGCTAAAGATTTCAATGAACCATTTTAATAGTAGAACAAGAGGCCAGCCGTCCAAAGGCCTATTTTACTGTATGAAACCAAGACAAGGGATTAAATCAGGATTTTACAGATTATCTGGCCTAATCAAGCCTCCATTCAGTTTCTGTTTTATTCTGTGCAACTAGCCTCCTTCTGAACAGGCTAACAGCCAGGCTTACTGCATATCGTAATACTTTTAATCAGCTTACATAAAAAAAAACACTAATACAGTATATATTTTTATATAGTCATTTACTATATGATTTTAACATTAATACTGTAGCCTAGAGAGCGTACTATATACTATCATTTTTCCATGTGTACATTGTTACTGGTTTTAAAGGCAGATGTTGTCCTAAGTTTGACAGAAAGGCCTTGCATTGTCAGAGTTGTAGGGAAGCGGCTGTTCCAACCGCTGCATATCCAAATTCTCCCGAGTGGTGCAAGACTTTACAAGAGTGAATAAAGTGAATGTGATTGGTCGTTTATCAAGGGGGCGGGATTGCTGTGGCAGAAGGTTTGCAAGCAAGTTTAATTGTGGCTGGTGTCTTGGAAGAACCTTGCTAACCACTTAGCAACTTAGTGCTAGTAGGTTCCCAATGGGAAATTCCATAAGGACCAAGTAGCAC